AACAGACTTTGAACCATTTTATCTATCTCATTCTTCTGGTAAAGAGCATAACGGTAAGGGCGTTGGTTCACTGGATTCGATCCTTCCATCAACGGAATCCTGTGATTGTGTTGACCTTGGTGAGGTGGTAGTGAAGTAGGCTCCTCAAATAAGTCTTTATAATCTTCTATCAAATCAGCCAAAACAGGATGAATTTTCTCGACTATCTTGTTCTCCAAAATACAAATCTCTGGTTCTTCCTCCATGTCAGTGCGCTGAATATAGATCATTGATATCCGAGCTTTCTCATTCTGCAACTTATTCAGCTTAGTCGACTTTACTTCAGTAACACTTCCCTCCTTAATACCATGTAACAGTATACGCTTCTTGTTTAGCTTAAACTCCATCGTCAACTCCAAGATGTCTCACGTAATAGGTCCAAGTTGGGCTAGCCACTGCACTCCCAAAACCATATCACAATTGCCTAATGGAATTAACATCACATCTTGTGAATAAGAAGAGTTTTGAAAATTCCACTGGAAGGTTTACCCTTCCTTGAACATGCAGTTTACCACCACCAGCAACAGCCACTCTCGTCATACTAGGTGGTAACACATTTCATCCCAATTTAGCCGCTATATCAGGGTCCATGAAGTTATGTGTAGACCCTGAATCAATGTGTATATAGAGGATTTTCTTCCCATGCCATCCTCATACCTTCATTGTCTTATAATTCTCTGAAATACCAGAAACAACATTCACAGAAATCTGAGCAATATCTCCTTCAGTCACTTCCTCCATTGGTTCCTCCACGGCCTCAAAAAATTCTTCATTATCATCCACTTCCATTACATACAACTGAGTCTTCTTGTGTTTAAGATAGTGATCCGGTGTATATTTCTCATCACAATAGTAATAGAGTCCCTTTGCTCTTCTTACACTCATCTCCTCTTGAGTTAAAAAGGGTTGCATTTGTCTCACTGCTTCTTTAGGTTTTTCAGACCCCATCACATTAACCTTCTTCACTTCTGTTGGTTTCTGATATGGAAGCAGGTCTTTGTTGGTATTGGTGTTCATTTTCCCCTGAGACCAACTCTGAGATGATGATTAATGAGCTTGTGATGTTTCATAGAGGCGTCCCAACATCAAACATTCTCTCACAGATTTCGGCTGAAATATTCTCACATGCATCTAAGTGTCATTGTTCAACCCAGCCAAATAAGCACTAACCAAGTAACTCTCACTCAATTTTATTCTATTACGAATAAGCTCGAACTGCGCATGGTAATGGCCAATACCCTCAGTCTCTTGCAGTTTCTTAAGTTCGGCTATTGGATCATCCAGTATCTCCTCAAATCGCTCCTTCATTAGCACTCTATATTGTTCCCAATCCTCAATAACATAAGAATCTTCCTCCAATTGAGCAATAGATTGATGCCACGCTGCTGCCATCTTGTCAAAATGAATTGAAGCCAAGCGTACACGTAACTCCATTGGAGTATTATCAATAGCAAAGAACTCATCCACCTTAAACAACCAATCCTTCACATTTTCACCATTGAATCTCGGAAAATCGACTTTTGCTAACCGTGTCATACCAGTGTACGTAGGATGATTCTGGTAACGAGTGAAGCGGTTAGGATCATTCATCGCCGAAGAATTCCTTTGCGACGGATCGCTAGGGTTCCTGTCATTACTCGTCAACGGAATCTCCGTGTTGGTGTTGACTTGCAACAACCGTATCGCCTCGAATATATCAGCGATTCTCGTCTCGACAAACATCTTTTGCTCCGATATCGCTTCTTCCAAAACTTGAATTTGTCCCCCAATCGTATCATCACTATCGCGAGCTGCGACCTCTTTTGGTAATACCTGAGCTCTCGTCTCTGCCATTGATGCCGAGGTTCGTTTAACGTCTGATATTTTTGATACAGTAAATTTGTGAATTGATAAACTTGGTAATTAATGTATATACAAAGAATCACTCTACTTAGCCAAAGATATACTCGAAGAAACAATTCAAAAGCTAAGAAAGAAGAACTGTAGAATTTAGAAAAAGACTCAAGAGAATTACAACAATTTTTGATAAAGCAAAATAACTTCTTCTTTCTCCTTTTAACGACTCTGCAACGATTTTTCACGGCGTATTCTAATGTCCTCTGCCATATTCAACACGTGTATTCTTCATTAAGTTGTAACGACTTCTCAACCACCTTTTAGCCGACACGTGTCTAATACGTCTTTCCTATAGCAATTTTCTTAACTAAAGCATGGTACATAGTTGAGGAAATTTAGATAATCAATTAGAAGTTTGGCGTATAAACATTTTTTTGTTAAAACATACTGTATTATTTTCGCGCTTATGAACACTATTTTGCTGGATTCCGTAATTTCCGTGTACGTCCATGTAAAGACAACTAAACACGTTTCATGTGGCTCCAACGGCTGTGATTAATTTACAGCTGTTTCTTTTATCAAATTACGTTGCGGCCAACCTTGCCAAAAACGGTCGTTTAAAGTCTGACGCCTGTAAAACAAATCTTAAGTTTTTTAACTAATGATGTCAGGTCTCTGCCACGTGGATGATGTAACAAGGTAGAATATTATACTCGTTTTTTTATATTTGCAAGATGAATGGATGTAAATTGTTAAAAACTAAAACATAAATTAAATTCTTAATATATGAATAGTAAAGACTTATCGGAAAAAAGTAAAATTCAAAATAAATAAATAAATAAATAATAGATAAAATATGTTTAACATTTCTATTAATATTTATGAAGATTTTAAAATATAAAAAATTCAGTATAGAGAATTCTTTTGGATGAATCTACTATTAATAAAATTTTAAATATTGTTAATTGTATGATTAAATTTTCAATATAGAGAATTCTTTTGGATGATAGGAAGTTGTAGAACCATGGACTTCCGACCTTTAAAAATTAAAAATAATTTTAAGCTTTAATTTTCTAAATAATTTTTTAGTCTAATGATATTAATACTAACGTTAGATACCCGAACATCACGAGTTCGACCCATCCATATGATCTAAGTGAGTTAAGTAAAGAGTTAACTATGATGTTTGGGAGGTTAAAAGGTAACTTATAAACTTGTTAGTTTGACATCTCAGTTTAGTTTTTGTTATTTAACTAGGTAGTGTATGTGTGTATTTTCAGATTCTTGGATGGAAACATTGGGAGAAAGAGACAACAACATCCAAGTAAGAGTTTAGTGTTGGTATGTTTCCTTATGACTTTTGAACCTTTCTCTACTTTCTGGTCTTGAGAGCTTTCGTTGTGTGTATTGCAGATATCTCCACATATAGTCTCACTCGCAAAACCTAGCAATGCAGTGGAAGCTCAAGAGATCTTTATACGGGTTAAAGAAGTGTCCAAGGTAGTGAAATAAGCAGTTTGATGAGTTTGTGAGGTCAAAGGGATATACCAAAAGTGAGTATAACTCATGCGTGTACTTCAAGAAGACTGCTTAGGATGAATATGTTTATATGTTATTGTACGTAGACGACATCCTTATTGCGCCTACAAATAAGGCTGAAATTCAGAAGCTCAAGGCAGTTCTAAGTACAAAGTTCGATATGAAGGATTTGGGAGATGCCAAAAATATCCTAGGAATGGAAATCACAAGAGATCAAGCTAACAGCAAGTTGTGTATATCGCAAGAAGATTACTTGTGGAAAGTGTTAGGTAAGTTTAATATGGACCAATGTAAGCCAGTGGCTACACCATTGGGAGCTCATTTTTCACTAAAGTCAGCTACAGAAGAAGAATTGCAAGATAAGGAGGAGCTCATTAAAAAGGTTCCTTATCAGAACGCTGTTGGGAGTATAATGTACTCTATAGTTAGTACTCGTCCTGATCTTGCTTATGTTGTTGGAGTGATAAGCCGGTTCATGTCAAAACCAATAAAGGAACATTGGCAAGCAGTGAAATGGGTTCTGAGATATATCAAAGGCTATGTTGGCACTTGTTTACGATTCAAGAAAAATGGTGAATTTGTGGTGAGAGGATACTGCGACTCTGATTATGGAGGTGATTTGGATCATGCTAAGTAAACTACTGGAATGATATTTACAGCAAGAGGTAATCCTGTGAGCTGGAGATCATTACTTCAGAAAGTAGTTTCTCTTTCAACAACCGAGACTGAGTATATTGCGTTGTCATAAACGGTTAAAGAAGGAGTATGGTTGAAGAGATTTACTGAAGAACTTGGATTTCCTCAAGATATGGTTGATATATTTTGTGATAGTCAATGTGCTATTGCATTATCAAAAAATGCAGTATTCCACGAAGGAACAAAACACATGACAACAAAGTATCACTTTATCAGAGATTTGATCAAAATTGGTGAAGTACAAGTGCTGAAGATTTGATCAAAGGTATTACCAGTGTTCAAAATGAAGAAAGCTCTGAAGGTGCTTCGGGTTACTAAAGACTAAAGATTGAAGGTCTTGTAGTTCGGTCAAGGACTACAGGAGGAGCTCTGCGAATAGTTTTAAATGAGAATTGGTAAAAGTGTCTTAAGGGTCAGGTAAATGATTTTTCAAGGTTAACAGTTTTTCAACAAGCTTATGATGAATGAAGACTTGCCTAAGGAGGAGCTTTGTTGGTTATAGACAAGTATTAAGCTTGGCTTAGATTCGTTTGTTTAGATTAGATTAGAACTCGGTTTAATTCTGGTTAAGATTGTAATTGATTTGAATCTAGGATTATTTACATGCGTGTGGTTTGTACTCGTGTGACGGTTAGTCATCTTGGTTTACAAGGGGTAATTAGCTGTTAGTTAGGATAAGCTAAGATGGTTATGAGTTTGTTAGATCAGTTTTGAGCGATAGATTAAGAAGAGATTTTCCGAGAAGAAACAAGTTGTAACGACGGTGACTCGAGCTGGGAATTCATCCGTTGAAGGCATAGTCAGTTGCCGATTCAATCCCAGATCCGGTGAAGTATAGCGGCCACTCCTAGTTAATGGTGTGGTGTGGTGTTGGTTGAAGAAGCACAAATATGTTTTGGTGCCTGATCGGCAGGAAGGATATCTGGGCTGCTCTTCGGACAAGGGCAGGTAGTCTTATATGTCATGTTTTAAAAAAGAAAAAGAAAACTTAACTCTGTTGATCACCATAATTTACTACTACTCCATGAAGTTATTAACTCTTGGATTTACTGATTAGCTGGTTTTGAGACAGAACACGGTGTACGTCATGTCAATGTAAGTGTTTGTTATTTTTACCGTCGGTTTGACTTCAAGGAAAGTTCCAGACTTAACTTTTGTTGCAGCTTCACCCTGAGTGCGCTACTCACTCAGTATACTACATTCTTAGTTTGTTAACTCTGTGACACTATGCAGGCTGCCAGTTTCATCGGGCTGAGAACCGGGGATCATCATATTGGGACTCAGAAGGCAATAATATAAACAATGTAATCCGCCTGCTAAATATCAATAATCATAGCAGCTATGATCTGTTAAGAATATTGATTTCTTGTGTTATGATGTCATCTATTTGGTTATTTTTCCGGTTTAAACATGTTCATACCTTACTGCTGCAAACTTTCTATGCTCTACGCGAACAGAGATTTTGTTTTTGTTATCAACAATCTCATCCTTTCTCAATCTTCCTGCAGGCTCCCTATGGTCCACCATACGCCATGATTCAAGGAGTACTCCAGCCCGAGGGAAACATGTTCACGCTGATCCCAAGCGAGCATTTCCCAACTATATGTCGTGGCTCTGTTGCGTGGGTCGGCTCGGGTCCTGAATTCTTCATCAGTCTAGCAAACCACCATGAATGGGAGCAATCTTACACTGTGTTCGGCTATGTTCTGCCTGAAGACATGGAGGTTGCTGAGAGGATTTCTGGTTTACCAACAAGAGTCGATGTCTGGAACAGCGTTAATTTATCTGTGCTCGAAAAACCGGTCTCGTTAACCGTACGGAGAATGAAATCTCGCGAAGAACAAGTAGAAACCGCTTCGTGAAGAACTTAGCAATCTTTTTTTCGAAAGTATATACAATATAGAAATTTTTACATTCTAGGACACATTTCCACTTATAAATTTCACATTAAGTCACATGTTGCTGGAGACACACAATATGCATGTGTAATGTCTTTAAAGCCATTTAACTAGAATTCCGCTCCTTTCTGCCTCTAACTAAGTAATAAAATAATTGGTAAAATGAATTCATAAACTAGAAGATATTTTTACAAAAAAATCTTTCAGATCTATCTCTAATTCTCCTTACTTTTCCATTTTCTTCTTCATCAATCTGTCAAGAACACTATGAACACTAAGAGATGAATCTGTTTTTAGTTTTGTTCTTTGGCATGAGGTTGAGTAATTAAAGTCCGTTGCTTTGTGTGTAGATCGAATCAAGAACAAATATTAACGTGTACAAGGGAGAGAGATTTATTTGCAAAACATAAAAATCATCCGAACCTCTTTTCCGCCGATTGTAACTACCACCACCGTCATCCTCCTCCTCCGAATCATGCCTGAACTCATCGTCCGCTGCTTTCAACTACCATCGTCGTCCTCTCCTCTCCTCTGTCTTTTTCTCATCGTAGACTCGACTCCACACGACGGTCACCGTCGACCAAAAGCTCGAGAGCAACAATGGTGAAGTTTCATATTTTTGCAATTGTGGTTCCTCACCTTTTGGTTATTCATATTTTACGCAAAAATTCTTAAACGTGCAAAAATGTCCTTTTGATTTAGTCTCAAATTTATAATTATGCACGCCACGTCACCTTCGTTTAATTAGTCACCGTAAAGATATACACAAGAATCCACAAACTTTTATGCTTCTTTGTTCATGTTTTGTTAATCGACATTCTCATATGATATACACAAGCATCCACAATTCTTCCATCCATACTTCCGTCATCCACGACTCTTCCATCCACGTTTCTTTCATCCAAGCTTTTTTTTTTCATCCAAGCTTTTTGTATTGATTAGAATTATTTTTTGTTCGATGCATCGATCACCACCTCTGCATCACTCTGCCGCGCTCAGATCCACCGACGTGTCCGTCCAAAGTTGGAAACTCAAAATTGCAGTGAAAACTCAATCCATGACCACATCCACATGTCTTCTGTCCACAACAAAACCACCTACAGCAACACCATCCACAACAGTTACTTTCCCAAATATAATGAGGAGGAGATGATTGTCGGGACTGACGGGGAAGGTGATCGGTGACTGACATAGGAGCTGGTATGAGACTGTAGGGAGAGAGGACATGAGAATTTGATAGTGGATTGGAAGACAGTAGTGGCGGAGGAGGGACGGTGGAGGAGGAGAACTGGTGGTGCTTACCAATGTGTTTTCTTTACCGTTTTAATATTTTCCCTCTTTTGATTTTCAATCTAATTTTCATCTATGGCTACCTCTGAAAACAAGACAATTAATTCAAAAATTGGTCATTTTTGTTTCACTCATTCAAGCTATATTCTTTTAGAGACTCAGTTCACCTCTTTTAGTTTTGATCGAACTTTTGTCAAAAAAATTTTAAACAATTTTCTGGATGTGGTTATGTTTGTAATCTGGAGAATTTTGATTGAAATCGATCTTTTCCAACCCAACTTTCATAAAATTGCACAAATTGCACAGATGGTGGTAGATATAGTGGAAAGAAAATACGTGAAAGGGATAAGGAGGTGGAGGTTGTGGTGAGGAAGAGAAGAAGAAGAAAAAAAATAAAAAATAAAAATTAAGGAAGATAATAAAATTTAATAAACTTATTTTAATTAAGTCAACGAGGGGTATTTTAGTCCAAAATGAGTCCACAACAAAAGAAAAGTATCCCTCCAGCAACATGTGTCTTAGCATGTTAAAAAAGATGAAAAAGTGTCTCATTATATAACGCACTCTACAATATATCTCTTTTTCTTACTGTGCATAAAATAGCGAGATGAATTTCTTTGGTTTGATATGGTATACTAAACATGAGCTATCCAATCTAATTCAAATGACAAAGTGTCAAATTGACTACACTAAGAAAAAACCAAATAATTTAAACCAAACCGGTAGATAAGTTCTGTTAAACGTATACGGCGGCAGTGGAGAAGGCGCGTCCAGTGTGAACACGTCAATCACTCCTAGGCGCATTTTAGCACAACTCTCAACCGGTCACCTTAGGCCTAGGCCAAAAAAAAACCGAAACAGAAAAACTGAACCGGAACCGAACCGAAATATCCGAGACCAAAACCGGACCAAAATCTTCAAATATCCGAATGGTTCCTATATTTCTATATCCAAAAACCCGAACCGGAACCGGAACCGAATCGAGAACCAAACGGGTACCCGAATATCCGAAAAAACAAGTTTAAACTTTTAGTATAAGAAACTTGAATCCATATTGGACATGAAGAATGAGAACATTGTTACCATCAGAACATGTTATCTTTTATGTACTCATATATTATAAATATATATGGTATTCTATATTAAATATAGTAAATATTTATAAAAGTAATATTTTATTGATTCGAACTCTTGCTAGATTGACGATTATATAAGCGTGTAAACAGTAAATCATTTAAATTAGCATATTTTCTAATATATTTTGTATATATATATATATGTATATATATATATATTTTTTTTTTTTATTCATATATTAAATGGTATCCGGAACCGAATCAGAACCGAACCAAAATCTCATAAGTATTTATTGGGTATAGGAATAATGTATCCAATATACCCGGAACCAAATGGTTCCTATCCGAAACCGAACTTAATACACGAGTGCCCATGCCTAGGCCACCTTCTCTCCCAACTCTAGGAACAATTCCTCTTATGGATCAAAAGAGATCAGATTATTCTACTATGGACCTCTTATTTTTCCTTTCATTTTGCATTTAAATTTAATTAGAAAACTAAAAAAAAAAGAACAAAAAAGCTAACAATTTAAACATATTTATAAAATACATGCCATTCCTACACATATTTATAAAATTTGGTTTTAGGATCTAAAATTTGTATTTAGAGGATTTAGAATTAAGATTTAAGGTCTAAAGTTTAGCTAGTGGTATTAGTATCATTAAATTAGTGCCACATTATTTTTAACTATTTTTTTAATTTAATATTATTTTTAATTAATATTTTATGTGAAATTTTGATTGATCTTAAAACTTGAGATGAATTTAAAGATTCATCTGAGGATTAAACCTATATTATTTTTATTATATTATATGACTTCAGTGGGTTAACAGTTTGGATTAGTGTTGTTGCAATGCCACTATTCAAATTTAAGTATGATAAAGAGGTATACTATTTTTAAATGCTAAAAAATATTCATATTTGTATTACGGTATAGGCATTATAGAAGACATTAATAACTTTTGATATCTTCTGATAAATGTTAAATAACCAAAAGATGGCTCGCTTTTAAAATTGTTAACTAGAGATACACGTTCGTGCGGCTATTTCTTATTTTAAAATAAATTATATATATATATATATATATATAATTTATAATAATTTTATTTATGAAAAAAAATATTATTTGAAAATTATATATATATATATATATATATATATATATTTATATTGAAATAGTACTAATCATATTCACAATTTATTTACTTCAAAATGTAACATCATATTAATAATTTAATTTTAAACATGAGTTTTATATGAATTATTAAAAAAAGAACAAATTAATTTTTTTGCTTAAAATTTTGTATTCTCGAAATATTTTATGTGACTATGTTAAATTATTTAATATTATATGTCAAAAATATATTTTATTTAATGTATTATATTTTAGTACTGTGTTTTTGTTTTTACTGTAAAAATAAAACATAAAATAATATAACCAATAAATTCTTATTGACTTTGTTATATATGAAATTTAATATGATTATATTTAAAAGAAATGGACTATACTTCTTAGTTTCAAAATAATTACTCACAAATACATAAAATCTGGCCTAGATTAAATATGAAAAAAACAATAATTACATAACAGATATGTTATTATTTAGATTTCTATTGTTTAATTTCAGGAAAATTTCTTATATGCATAAATTTAGGATATTTTGTTAAATTTTTAGTTAGTGGTCTAACATAGATTTTTGGGATTTTTGCCAAAACTAACCCATAACTTGGTTTTAACCCCAATACTAGACCCCAACTTGAATCAAATGCAAATTTAACCTAAAAGGGCTATGAAATTACAGTATAGTGCACTGTGACAAAAAAAAAAAAGACATTTTTACGAATATAACCCCAGTAAGTTGTCTGGGTCGGGCTGAGTTACTTTTCAGTCGTCTGGACGACTGAAATGTTAGTTGTCTGGATGATTGAATCTTAAAAATAATTTATAAATTCTGTACAAAATATTTTGATGAGTGAAAAATTAAAAACATGTAATTATAAACATTTATATGTGATATAAATTAAGAAATGATAAAGTTGATTTGTTTTCAGCATAGATGAGTGGAAGTAGTGAATCATGATATTCTTTGGTTTAAGGGTTTGGCAAACATATGTTATAGTATTGTATGTAATCATAGGGTTAGATTTTGAAAAGCTGAAATGTTTTTTTGAAAAAATTAATTTGACCTCTATGTGTTTATTTCTGAGTATAGTAAACATTTTCAAGTTTAAATTGATGTTTCGAAGTGTTTAATTATAGAATAAAGTTTAGGGGTTATGTTTAGGGATTAGACGACTGAAATTTCAGTCGTCTGCTTTAAATTATTTCCCAGACGACTAATTAAATTATTTCCCAGACGACTGAAATTTCAGTCGTCTGCTTTAAATTATTTGCCAGACGACTGAAATTTCATTCGTCTGCTTTAAATTATTTCCCAGACGACTGAAATTTCAGTCGTTTAATTGTACCGAACCATTAATTTTAACATTTTACGTTTTAACCTAACCGGATTTTTACCGGACATATAAAAGTTATTTTTTTCACTTTTTTGACAATTTTCCGAAACCCTAGCGCCGTTTCTCTCCAAGGACGATTG